CACAGAGAGAGAGACACACACACACACACAGAGAGAGACACACACACACATAGAGAGAGAGACAGACACACACACGCGGAGAGACACACACACGCGCACAGAGACACACACACACACACACACACACAGAGAGAGAGAGACACACACAGACACACACACACACACACACACACACACACACTTATCAAAATAACAAAAGAAGTCACGTCGAAAGTCTCATTGAGAAAACTAAGTATTATAAAGAGGTATCATTACAATCTGCAAATTAGTGGAAAAAAGTGGAAATCAGGATTCAACATAAAATAATGTCTTCAGAATTATTCATACATGTGAAAATCATCTGAGAATCGAACAAATAGTTGTAAGTTGCATCACAGGGAGATAGGAATTATGTCTTTGTGGCAAAAACAAAACAAAACAGTAAGAAACAAGCACTGGTGTTATTTCAGCAATGCAGGACTGTGTAATTCAAAAATATATCAATAAAGGCAATTATTTTGCTCTATTTTGATCGATTAAGGTCATGGTTTGACATGTTTCTGTGTGTGTCCAGGGTGTGACCTACCCAGCATGTCATGGGATTTGGAGCAAGTGGGCTCCGCCCCTTGAGAGAAGTCGCTTAGCAACCACCTCTTTCTGTGGTAAATACGATTTCCCTTTTTAAACGCCCACATAACACAGAATTCCCAAAATAAAACCTGTAAAAACACCCTGTTTCAGGTTCATACGCGGGCGCTGTGGTGGCCATGCCGCTGGCTGGAATATTAGTGCAGTACTCGGGCTGGTCTTCTGTCTTCTATATATATGGTAGGCTTATAATCTTCACTGTGAACTTCTGAGATGATCACAGACTTTTCTTTTTTTGGGTGTATGATTTCATGACACTTCTTGGGTTACAGGGAGTTTTGGGATTGTCTGGTACATGTTTTGGATTCTGGTTTCATATGAGAGCCCAGCAGATCATCCCACCATTACAGATGAAGAGAGGACTTACATAGAGGAGAGTATTGGAGAAAGTGCCAAACTACTGGGGGCAAATGAGGTACGTTCCATAGTGTGCTTTCACTGGACAAATCTGAAGATCCCATGAAATCACATTCGGGGTTTTCTGGGTGTTAGTCAATGTCTATTAGCTTAAAGGCCATTTTGAAAGAAATTAATATGCTCAGGATGCATTAAAGGAGACATATTATGCCCCTTTTTACGATATGTAATATAAGTCTCAGGTGTCCCCAGAATTTGTCTGTGAAATTTCAGCTCAAAATACTCCACAGATCATTTATTATATCATTTTGAAAATGCCTATTTTGAGTGGAAGCAGAAAAACGCTGTTTTGCGTGCCTGTCTCTTTAAATGCAAATGAGCTGCTGCTCCC